CATCGCCTGCGCCAGGGAAGAAAACAGCAGATCCCAACAGTTTAGGGGAGCGTCCGCCATGATGGCTGGAGGATCAACGTGTCGAATTATAGTATCAACGTTTGATGTTGTACTCTTCGTTAGCTTCTTCATAGGAAGTTTGGTATGGATAAAGCACCATAAAATTATTTCTAATACACGAGTGTCCGGTCTGAACAGAATCTGGATGGATCAACCAGGAAGACACCACGGATCAACCGATGGTGATTTGACTAAAACCCTGACAGAACTCAAAGCCTACTCTGAAATTATGCATTCCCAGTCTGGAATTGATAACCCAATAGACAACGAAGTAACACGTTTGGACCATGGAAAACGATAATAATCTCTATATTCACCACATTGATTATTGTGATTGCACTGTTTGCTTTCTGTGGATGTTGTTGTATACCTTTTCTAAGAAACATGGCAGAACGAGTCCTTGAGAAGGCGGTCGGAGCTTACATCTTTGAAACCAACTATCAAAGACTATCAGAACAAGACCCAGACCACTGTAGGTGCAATGGGTCTAGTGCTGCTTAGGAGCACTCGGTGTTATTAACCAGTCTCAAATTAATGACATGATCAGTCTCATTAAAGTTATCTTTAATTGTTATTTTATCCTACTAATATAGCAATAATGTATAACAATAAAGTATTACAAATATACTAAAATCAATAGTATTCAATAACAATTAAATATCTGAAAGATTTTTAGAGTTCTTGGCAAATTGAATGAATTCAATGAATAAAGTAACAACACAGACAAACAGTTTACAAAAATAATCTATAATTTATTTATACAACACAGTCAAGGTAATGACGGTGATTGAACTCATAAACAATGATCATAACAACAAAACAAGGCGTGTGTGTGTATGTACTTGTGTGCGTGTGTACACAAGTGGTCGAGGGGTGGTACACATCAGACAATACAGACATCATGCATTGATGTACACTCATCCTGTTTGATCAAGCATACAGCTTTTGTTACCATATTTGGTAATGACCTATGTTGTTGTTGTCACGTACACACATCCTGCTTTCCATCACAAGACTTATCATGTCACACCAGACCTTGGGTGTAACTCAACCGTGCAGTTCCTTTTTTCGTGTGTCTGCGTATTTTAGTTTTAGCTTTAAGCAGCATGTTTGTTGTTTAGGCAGGTTATATGTTTTAGCACATCTCTTATGATCTTTTAAAACATTATTATATATGTTGCATACTTCTATAAAATATGAACACATGAATACATTTCATCCACACTGGTTATATGTTTATCCACATTCCGAAAGTCCGTTTCGGGAGGAAAAGTCTCTGACTGTCGATGTGCCGGTTCACACGATTACCGTTAGAAGGAATCCTGTCGCTTCTAAACTTTTCAATAACTGCTTTGGTTGCAGCGCTACGTTACTTGTGTAACTTATTACCGGTTAACTCCGTTAAGAAAAATACGCTACTAGTGCATTTATCACCGTGGGCAATGGTGTCTACAAAAGCGCGTTGGTTCTTAGTCTTCTGAGACGAGCAGGTTTCCCTTTTCATCAGGGGTCCTACGGAGCGAAAGTCCTGAACAGAGAGAATGAAATTGGGGCTGATCTCCCAATTTAAAGGTTGCGGAGGTTACTGATCGTGACGTATGTGGATTTACCGGAAGCAGTGGAATTATGGGAGTTAGAGTCCTTAAAAGGACTGTTGTAGTATCTACACCACAATGGTCCTTATGGCGACGCGAAGATTGTTGACACTCATGTATGATTCCAATGTTGAAAATCGGTTTGAAGTGACATTGTGATGACAATGTAAATAGAATTTCTAGTTAGTAATCAAAGTGTGGTAAATCATAATCTGCTTGTAAGGAACACGTACTCCTGTTTCTGAAGACTTTGCTCTGCACAGTAAATGTCCTTAACGTACTCCCTTTTTTGTAGACTTTGCTCTGCACAGGAATTGTTCTGCACGTACTCAAGAAATGTTTTCTGTAAAGGATACAGTCTGTTCCTCATCATGTGAATCGTGTGAACTTTGCCCAAAAAGAATGTACACAACTGCTCAGCACCTATGTCTGTTCCTCATCATCTATGTGAAGCTTGCAATCTTTGCACAAAAGAATGCATGTCAAAATCCGGTAATTGATGAGAACTTTAAAGAAATGTGTGACGGAGACTTAACTATGGATGAATTTGATTGTGCTATTAAGAACATGGCAGGGCCAGATGGAATAACAACTAATTTCTATAAACATTTTTGGGAAGATATGAAACCCTTATTGTTCGAAGCTTTAATTGAATGTATGAATCAAAAATTGGCGCTTTGGCACAGAGGCAATGTCTCTGTCATTGGCGTGGAACTCAAAATTAACAAGGTTCTGTTAAATTGGAAAATGATGTTCAAGCGTAATTTCAGCCCCCATAGTGTTCCATTGTGGAATAATAGGGTGATATTGAGTCTAGGGAAGGTCTATGTTTATGGAAGACTGGATAAAAAATCAAATTTGGTCTGTTATACATATAATGGATGGACATGGAAACATTCTTGAACTGAAAGATTTTAATGCTAAATATGGCATGAGTTGCTCCAATGAGATATACAAGAAAGTCTCTCAGAATATCCCAGTAGTCTTTATCCAATCGATTAAGAATAATATTTTGAACATACCATCTCCAAATTTACACAAGGTGAAGATAGATGATCTGGACCTTGTAAACGAAGTTTTTAAGGCTGTACTTTGTAAACACCTTATATCCAGTTAGAACAAAAAGGTCCCTCACTCTTAGAGATTATAACAAATCTGAAATATCAACTGTTCGAACTAAATACTTAAGATTTCCAATCTCCCCAAAGTGTAAAGAATAACATTTTATAATTATAAATAATATTTACCCCTCAAACGAATTCATGAAAGGATTTGTGGTAACTGTTATATTTGCAAAACGAATTTGGAAATGACAGACCATCTGTTTTATGAATGTGAGACTGTCCAAAATTTGTGGAAATATCTCCATGACTTGATCTCGTCCAGCTCCAGAGACAGGGGCCTTTGGTCCTCTCAAAATATTCGAGCAGGAGTAATCCTCAAAGACAAAAGAAATTAGTTTTTAGCAAATAATCTCATTATTATCACAAAATATTATATACACAAATGTCAATATGCCAAATCCACCCCTTCATGGCCTGGTCTTAAGAATGAATTCCTTTTATTACAAAAATGTCTGAAAAGAATAAATAATACCCATGCAAATAAACTGTACACATTGATAGAAGAACTTAACCTATCCTAAACCCCTTGTATTTTTTTTAAATTTTTATTATTATGTTTTGTTGTTGTTGCTTTTGGAGGTGTGACTATTTAAAATGTATGACTAATATGTTTTTGACAGAGTTTGTCATTGTTCTTGAAAGAGTG